GCCTCCCAAAAAAATATCGCTTATTCAAAATAAAACCGCAGAGCTAACCCTCAAAAAATCTCCTCACTCCAGCTCTTCAGTTTACCTTCTAGTATTTCATAGGGCGGTGTGCTTGATAAAGTCACCTTGTGCTGTTTTGCAGAGTGTACAGAGATTGCGTTCGATGATGACAAAAAGATCCCCGCCTACCACATCCATTGCGAGTGATGTGTCGTTTAGCACGTATTCATATACGCTGTTTATGTTTGTTGATTCCTCTGAACTGAATCTAAAAAGATTGCTTGACCTTTTAACCCGCGAGCTGCAGTTTCCTTCATTCACACCAAATGTTACCGATGTGAGACAAAACTCTTAGCTGAGTCTTTAAAAAAAAGACTAAAGACTGTGTGTGTCAGTGTGCACATGAGTCTGGGCGCCTCTAAAGCAGCGGTGCGAATGGCGCTATATAAATGATTATATTGTTATAATTAAAATCTTCAACACAATTATCAGGGACTCTTTTGTACAAATGTTAATACATACTGATTGCTCAACTTTTCCTGAATGTTATTGTAAGCATCCACCAATTTAACGACCTCTCCCTTCCAATGTTTTTCAACTTTGTCCAGGTCATTTTCATGGGCGACATGGAGTTGGTGCATCTCTGTGCGGTGTTCATCAGCCAACTTTTTTCTCACATCTGACAACTATAATTAAAAATAATTAAATTAACAAATGAACATTCAAATCGTGTTAATTAAAAAATAGTTAATCATTAGATTAAAAAATGAAAAAATCATCAATTCTGATCAAATTTTTATATTGACAAAAATTTCATTATAAAAAACAATTTTATAAAGTTTGATTGACCAAAGACATTTTAGCTTTGGAAAATGCTTAACATAAACCTAATTGCGTTAACTGACGAATGTAAATATTGCAACAAACAGAAACAGGGCTTCCAGAGCGCATTTTCATCTGTGGCACCTCCCGTAATCAAGTTTTATCTTTTTAACTTTATAACATTTATCTTTCTTTATCTTTATGTTATTTAGCTTTCATAAACTGTTCATCACCTTGTTGACCCTTTTTAATAAGTTCATCTCCATCTTTTTACACCTGCATATAATTTGCATGGAGGTTTATCAGTTTAAATTACCAGGCTGAATTCTTTTTTTTTGCAACTTAACGACGTTTCAGACTTCCTGAATTCTATTCTGGAAGGGCAATTCTACATTTGACGGAACCCCGAGTTTTCTCTGATCTGATCGTATTTTTCATATTTAGTTAATATATGCTGAATAGATAGTTTTTGTCGCAGGCTTCACAATAAGGTGGTTTGTTTTGTTGGGGATCTAAGAATGTGTGATTGCTGAGTGTCCTATTTTTAATCTATTGATAACAGACTTAAATGACGATCTAAATAACTATTTTTGAACTTTTTGTTATTTACTGATGGCATACTTAATTTTAAAAAAATTTGATGTTTTATTCCACACCTGCTGTCATTTTTCAACAATAAGGATGTTTAATTCTTTAAATCAATGGACGGAATTGGAACTCTAGATAATGACATCGAATGAGCTTGAGAAGCCATCTGATCCACCTTTTCATTTCCTTCATTTCCAATGTTGCTGAGAATCCACATTATAATTAAATTTTTGTTGCTATCCAAAACACTATGAATCTATT